GGTTTAGAGTTTAGCCCGCAGTAGTATCTTCAAGCCTATTGAGGGTCCGGTTATGACAACCGGACAGCAGGAAGCAGAGTACCCTTTAGAATATTAATTGAAAGGATACTGACAAAGGCTAAACCCTGAATCCCGAAATCAAAACAAGTCGCACGACCGCAAGGTTTGGGTAATGCATGCAAGTGTCTTGCAATGATGTACTGCGTTGCTAAGCTGATACATCGCGCCACGTAGGTTCAGGTTTCTATCGCGAGACTTACCGCTGTGGGTTGAGCAAGTATCCCCATATACGTACTTAATTTGGATCCTTTGGATGACCCATTTCCCTGGTCCGGTCAAAACTCAGACAATAAAGCTATCCAGAAGGAACTGCAACAAAGATTGAGGATCTATAAAAGTCTACGTAGGCTAGCGGCTAGGTGGTAGAAATGTAACCGGTCCATGGATTTTGGGGTGCAGGCTTTGAGGTTATCTGGTTGCAGCATTGCGAGCAGATGTGTTTGCGGATCGAGAGACATCTCAGGGACCTGGGCTAGATCCTCTAGTCATGGCAGTAGATCCAAAAGCGAGGCCTGCAGTGGTTTCTGGGGCCTTCGTTCGTCATGGTGGCATATCTGAGCCTGTTCGACAACAAGTTCCGAGAAGCTCAACCGTCAACTCTAAACCACAAGGACAGCCCCCAACCTTTGTAAACAGGAAAGAGCGGAGTCACACTCGCAAAGGAGTCGGAACAAGCATGAACTCTTTTCCCCTGAAATCTCCGTTCCGTTTGCATCTGGGTAGTTCCCTAGATTTGGGGGTGATGTTCTAGCTCCCCAAAGTAGTACGGCATCCGTCTAGAAGGGACCCGAATTTAGAAGAACTCACTATATAAGCTCCCTCAGGACCCCAGTCTAAATACCCTAAACACCAAACCCAGGTCTAATTGCCTTCGGCCCTTATGGTTCCTCCTACAGGGGCTGAAACGATTAGAACAAGTCTTGGCAGGGGGAGTATGGTGCATGATAGCTTTCTGGGGACATTAAGGGGATAGTGCTAGTACCCTTTGACTGCCACCACGATGCAGGGCAAGGACGGCAAGTTCGTGCAGTTCGATGCAGATGCTGATGAGTGAGAAGGCCACCGACCTAGAAAAGAGACTTGAATGCCAGAGCCCCCAAAGCCTGAACCCTGAATTGAGCCAACCTCAATAATGTCAATAGTCCTAGACGCTCCACAAAAAATTTCAGAATGGCTTGACCTTTCAAGTCAGAGGGGGTAGCTCTTGGGGTAGTTCAGCTTTGCGTTTTTTGTCGCCTTTGGGTGGGAGGCGGAGTTTTCTGACGATTGATTGACGGCATGGTGCAGTTCAGGGTTTAGGCTAAGTTGTCCAAAATTGTGAGCTGCAGCGTCGGGCCGCAAAAGTTAGGTCTGCCAGATTCAATGATCTTGGCTCAACAAATCCAAAGTCATAAAGCCCCAAGACCTAAACCGAAACCCTAGTCCCCTAGCCCTAAATCCCCTATAAATCCCTTTGAAGGAACCCTTGTAGATCCCTTTAAAGGAACCGTTATAGTACCGTTTAAATGAACCCTTTAACTACCCCTTAACCCCTAAACCCTAACCCTTAACCCCTTAACCCTAAGCCCCTAAACCCCTAAACCCCTAAACCCCTAAACCCTAACCGCCTAAACCCTAAACCCGCCCCTAAACCCTAAACCCCTAAACCCCTAAACCCTAAACCCCTAAACCTTAAGCCCTTTAAATCAACCCTTAAGCCCCTAAACCCTTTAAAGGAACCCTTAAGCCCCTAAACCCTTTAAAGGAACCCTTAAACCCTAAACCCTTTAAAGGAACCCCTAAACCCTTAAGCCCTAAGCCCTTGAAAGGAAGCCTTAAAACCCCAAAGCGAAGCCCTGCACCGCCGAAGCTCCAAGCCCGAGGTCCCAAATTTGGCCACCGAAGCCCAGCTTGAATCGGTTTAGGGTTTAGGGTTTAGGGTTTAGGGTTTAGGGTTTAGGGTTTGGGGTTTGGGGTTTGGGAGCAAGGTATGGAATGATCAGCTTTAGGGTTTGGGGTTTAGGGCTTGGGGTTGAGGGGGTTAGGGTTTGGAGGGGGTGTAGGAGTTGAGAGTTCTGGCTTTAGGGTGTAGGAGTTGAGGGTTTAGGGTTTGGGGTGTAGGAGTTGAGAGTTTAGGGTTTGGGGTTTAGGGTTTGGGATTTTCGCTTTTGGGTGTAGGAGTTGAGGGTTTGCGGTTCAGGGCTTTGGGCTTAGGGTTTGGGGCGTAGGAGTTGAGGGTTTGGGGTTCAAGGTTTAGGGTTTTGGGTTTAGGAGGTAGGAGTTGAGAGTTTACGGTTTGGGGTTCAGGGTTTGGGGTTCACGTTTTAGGGTTTAGGGGTTAGGGGTTTAGCGCTTTAGTGCTTAGGATTTTAGGGCTTAGGGTGTAGGGGTATTTAGGGCATAAGGCTTCGGGTTTAGGGCTTATGAGTCTTATGAGGTGTATGGGGTCATGGGGTTTAGGAGCAAGGTATGGAAGTGCAGTCATGAGAGCTGAACCTCCGTATGCTCAGACATTCAGGCGATTGCACAATCTCTGATGCAAAAAGGGTTTCGGTGTTTAGGGGTTTAAGGGTTTGGTAGCGTCCATTTAAGTTCCGGCTTGAAGGATTCCGATGTTCTGGTTCTTGGGTTTTCACGCGTCGGGTATCTGCGTTTGGGGATTGTAGCCCTAAGGCCCCAAGGTTCCAAGTACCTGATAATCATGTACTCTCCCTACTAGTAACCTACATATCTACAATCCGAAACCCAAGTACCTGACTCTTGGGTCCTTTGGACCCTTGGGATAGTAGCTAGTCTAGTGACACTGAAGGAATGCAGCATGATGGCAAGACAGAAGGTTCCCTTGTGAGGTTCCCTCATGATCTATGGGCATACGGATGGCTTCACTCCCTGCTACCAAGCGATAAGTCAGCCAACCACACCGCATACACTGAATCTGATCCCTCATTGGCCCTGAACCCAAAACGCGAGACCCTAAGCCCTAAACCCCTAACCTCAAGCACCTTCGCTTCCGAGGTCTTCAGCCATCACCCGAAATTACTGGTCCAAACCCCTTGCCCGTAAACCTCCCAACCCTAAGCCCCTTTAAGCCCTGGGCTCCAACAAAACCCTAAACCCTTCAGGGTTTTGGGTTTAGGAATCCCTAAACCCGAAACCCTAAACCCTAAGCCGAACGCCTGAGCCCGTGCTTTTCAAAGACCGCAGCTCACATCCCGATCCAGGGGTTTCCCAAAATAGGGGGGTACCATTTTGGCGCTTATAACAAGGAGCCTGGTATTTAGGGTGCTATATTAGGATCCCCTATTTTCGGAAACCCCCATCCAGGCTTGGGATGAGGAGAGGGGCTTCACCAGAACACTTCTTCGATCGCGCGCTCTCCTTGCAAAATCTGCGAGCGCCGGGCAGTCCAATACTCCTCGGTCATACACTTAGACGTGAAGTGTGACATAAAGAGATCCTATTTCAATCATTAAATAAAGGATCCACACTATATTAGATTAAGTATATACTGACTTCCGAGTATTTTGCTCTCTGGGTGAGCTGAAAGAGTTGCGCTTAGGATCGGATGTTCCGTTCATTGATGTAAGGGTTTACCCAAAGTGCCGAATCCCTGAACCTGAAGCATTTTAGGGTCTAGGGCCCTCAGTCTTCTTGCAATTTTCCCATTCAAACGAGAAGTTTAGGGTTGAAGGTTCAGCGTAGTTGCGATTACGAAAGCAGTAACACTGCGTGCACCATGGAAATGGGTGGGCAAACAGCGCAGTCGACTGGCAGTCAGGTCTGTTACTTCTTTGTGTTTCTGTTGTTATCAATACTGAAATTACCCTAAACCCTAAACCCTGAACTCTAAACCCTAAACCCCTAAACCCTAAACCCTGAACTCTAAACCCTAAACCCCTAAACCCAAACCCCTGTGCTTCACTTGGCAGACTCCCGGATGCAGGGTGCTCTCCAGCCCTTCCAACTCAGGACTCCTGGAACGGCTTCCTGGAACAGATTTTTCCCTAGGCCCTAGGGGTTTGGGGGTTTAGGGTTTAGGGGTTTAGGGTTTAGGGTTAGGGAACAGATTTTCTTTGTCATAGTTGGGTAACATTTTACATTTTTTAAGGGTACTTAAACCCAATAAGGAATATAAATTGTAAATTTTTAATACTACCACAACCATGAACTAGTTTTTCCCTAGGCCCTAGGAGATACGGAAGTTCCAGTACTTCTAGACAGAACCCTGAGAGGTATGAGAACTCTGACAAAGTCTTTAAGATGGATAATGCCTAGTACCTGAGCCTAAACCCTAAACCAGGGTCGAGTAGGTCCCATATAAGCTCTGGCATGTGGGTAGTTCTAAAAAGGGACCCTAATTTAGAAAACTACCCATGTTCAGCTTCTGGCCATCAGCCGTATGTCCGAAGGAGGTCGCTTCAGAGTGTGCTGTAGGGCTCCTGTCGCGGTCGATGTTTTGAAGTGTTGAGTTAGGGTTGAGGGTTTAGGGTTTTGGGTTTAGGGTTTTGGGTTTAGGTTTTGGGTTTGGGGTTTCGGGTTTAGGGTTGAGGGTTTGGGCTTCAGGTTCACACTTTGCAGTTTAGGGCTTTATAAGGTTTTGCAGATTTGCAAGCTACGAGGAGGATGCTGTGGGATCAAGAATTTCACACCTGTCGCAACTCGCGGTTCCACAAGCCATTTCGGTTTAGGGCTTGCGCAGAGCTTGCACGGCAAAAGAAGGTTCGACATGAAACATCATGCGGCTGATCAAGTAAGTATAGTTCTATAATTGTAAAGTAGAATGCCCACAATCCTACGCTCAACCTACTTCGATCTACTTGCTTGTCCTAAGCCCCCTGATATTCTAGGCAGGAAAACCCTTAACATGCTACTCTAACGGGCCTAGAAGGATGCCGTAAACCTAACCTAGGGTTTAGGGCATACCTTCTCGTCTGCGCATCGTGTAGCTCGAGCTCGTTGCCATGTGCTCCAAGACGAGCCTGGAGGAGGGAAGCACTTTAGATCAGCTGAAGATGTAAGGTTTCTGGATATATATATATATATATATAATACAATATATATATATATATATATTTATTTATTTATTTATTTATATGTAATATATATATATATGTGGTTACTTAAAAACCGCCATTAGGGTTCAGAGTCTAGGATATGGGCCTGCATCGGTTTAGGGATTCTCGGCTTTAGCTTTAGGGCTTTAGGGTTCAGGGCTTTAGCGTTAGAGATCAGCCGAAGGCTCGCTTGAGGATCTGCGTGTTCAAAAAATGCTGAAGATGGGGGCCTTAAGTAGAATAGGGTTTTCGGGCGGCTATGTTATACCATAGATATCATAAGGAGCCCGTAATTATTTAGGCTTCTGTATTGCATCTTGCTATCTCTGGGGCTTGAGTATGTGCTAGTTGGATGTCTGGAGCCCTTCCGGACTCTGATCAACCTGGGCCCCAAGCCCCAAAGCGGAAAAAAATCCCCTAAACTGTGAAACTTGCTCGAAACCCAAGCGTAGCTGTAATCTTCACCTCCGAGCCTAAACCCCAAATCCAAGACCCACAGCCCTAAACCCTAAACCCTAAAACCCTAAACCCTAAACCCTAAACCGAAAACCCCAAAACCCTAATCCCTAAACCCCAAAACCCTAAACCCTAAACCCTAAACCGAAAACCCCAAAACCCTAAACCCTAAACCCCAAAACCCTAAACCCTAAACCCCCAAAACCCAATGTGTGAGGCCGTTTTAGCCGAGCAGCGGTCGAACCTCAACGGGTTGATCACGCAGACCCAGCAGCTGGCGCTTCGGCGATGAAAGCCGGGCTTGGGGGGATTAGGGCTGCAGCTGTTTAGGATTTAGGGTTTGGGGCTGTAGCTGTTTAGGGTTTAGGGCTTCGGGTTTAGGGCTTGGGGTTTGGGGGTTTAGGGTTTAACTGTCTGGGGCTTCGGGTTTAGGCTTTGGGTTTAGGGCTTTGGATTTAGAGTTCGGCGATGAAAGCCGGTTTCTGGGGGTTTAAGGGTTTTAACTGCTTCGGGTTTAGGGTTTAGGGGCTTTAGGGAGGGTTTTAACTGTTTAGGGTTTGGGGGTTTAGGGAAGCAGGGTTTGGGGGTTTAGGGTTTTAACTGCTGAGGGCTTTGGGGGTTTAGGGCTTGGGGCTTGGGGGTTTAGGATTTTAACTGCTGAGGGCTTTGGGTTTAGGGAGGGTTTTAACTGTTTAGGGCTTAGGGTTTAGGGTTGGGGGTTCAGCAGCTCCGGATCGAGCAGTGTTACAGTGTAGCTGTTTTCACGGTTTCGATATAACACCCACCCACCCTTAGAATCCCATAACATTACGAAAATACAAAGTTCGTTTCAT